AATAAAAACTATAACAAATATACTATAAAAATACTAAATCAAATAATAAAACTAAAAATAAAATAAAAGAAAAATAATGAAATAAAAAATTATAGGTGTGACAATACTATATTGAACTGAGTATTTAAACAGGTAATTCACAAGCAGGTTACAGATATAGCAGCTTGTGTAGAACTACTTAGATGGCCTAATATCTGTGTAGCAGACTACTTAAATAGATAATAACTAAAGTTATACATATGACTAGTTGTATACTCTTCATATAACTATAATAGCAGAGCTATCCATGTTGTGACCCTGTATCTGAAAATTAATAAAATACTTGTAGCAAAATAAGCTCTCTTTAAAAAAAAATAAAATAAAAATAAATATAAGTATATATTTATTTTTTTTTTATTTTTTTTTATTAAGGCTACTTCCTTGACCGATTAGATTTTTATTAGTTTGTTATTGTGGAACTATCAAATGAATAGTTTCTTAAGGTTTTACAGTTATATGATGAGTGTACAATAAGCCACATGTATAACTTTAGTCATTGTCTAATTTAAATAGTCTGCCATACAGACGATCGACTATCTGTTAGTTCTACACTATGCTACTATACCTGCAACCCATCTTTGAGTTACTTATTTAAACACTCTGATCATTAACCCTTTCTCTATTCTAAACTAACATTACTACTATAACCAGCTGCTTACGCTAGCTGGTTCATCCATAGATCTATTTCTCTGCACAGCTTAGGTCCTCTTGAGATGCCTATGCCCAACGTATTGTGAGCCGCAGAGCTTCGGTTAACCTCAGAATTAATTCTTACCAGAGTGGTCATGTGCCTATTTCACAGATTCATCTGGATTAGACCCTTGTCGATATTCGTACAGACCCAGTTCTTGCCATGGCTATCTACTAGATATAGTCCTCCAAGTTCTAGCCAGATATTTTACAAGGTAGATCTTCCCAATTTAGTTAGCTGCCAAGCCAAGTTGGTGTTGTCACTAATGCAAAGCACCAGGTTGCATTACACAGCAGACTTACTCGTATCTATTGATCTCACATCCTTCGTACTCAGGTTTTTCACTAGATCAGATATTAACTAGCTTGACTATTAAAATCTGTACTACTTCACCAAACTCGAGATTTCTACTATGCAGGTCTCCTGCTCGTAGATCCTATCAAGATTTATTTGCATAATATAACTCAAGCATTGTATCACACTTCTAATATCTAATTAATATTAGTACAATGTAATTTACAAGGTTGTAACCTCTAGAAATGAGCAGAGTTTACTATAAGTTAGGTACAAAGGTTCAAGTAATTATTCAAATTCGTCAACAGTAGAATTTGAACTCCAGACCTCTTGTATGGTGGTCTGGCAACCTAACTACTACACTAAGATTACTAGATCTTATAAGTATATATTTATATATAAATATAAGTGTATATTTATATATAAATATAAGTGTTTCTAAGTTAGAATCTGTTATTAATATTTAAGTTTTCATTGTATCAGATTTAATTCTAGAGGAATTGTAATTTAGATAAAAATAGTATATATTACTTTAGTAAAGGTAATATTTTATAATTACATCATTCTATATTATAGCATATATTAATTGAGATGTAATTAACTTTATACTATGCAATAATTTCAAAGTTAAATTCTAGTACAGTAAAAATTTAAATATCACTTTTAGATTTTATTTGGAAAAACTTATTTAAGTACTGTAGAGTGAAAACCTAGAAGTGAATCTTCAAGTTTATTAACATAACAGGCTTAGTATTATATTATATAATATAAGACTAAGCTTGTTATAGTGATAAACTTGAAGATTTGCTTTTAGATTTTCACTTTACAGTACTCATATCATATATATGTATTGATATATATATTTTACTTAAAGGTTAGTATTACTAATATGTAATTGTAAAAGCTTTTCAATTTCTTCAAACACCTTATATTCAAGTTCATTACAAGTTGAGCATACTCTACTAAGATTATCTTTATATATATATCAGCCACCTTATAAACGAGTTATAAAAGATATACGATATATTCTATTTAAATATTTTTTGTGAAATTTTTCCCATAAAGCTTTTTATGATTTTGAAGGTATAAAATTAGTAAGCCAGTAGATGTTTCAGTTCTATAGGATGACATATTGATATTTTCTTTGTCAGTAAAAAAAGCTCAAATTGATTTAGTTATTCTTCTATTAGTTTTATATGATAAATAATAGGTTTCAAAAAAAGTAGAGCATCATGACTATAAGATTTTACATGTTTGTGAGCTTCAGAGATTGTATAGCAACCAACCTTTTAATATAAGATATTTCAATTTATAATTATATAAGGAATGAGTATTTCTATACTTATTTTTTATATTTCTACACTTTTGTAAAATAATAAATTATATAATCACATATGTAATATGTATTCTTATAACTTAAGGTTGTAGAAATACCAAAAATAGATGTGAAAATACTCATTTTCTTTATATATATATTGCTAATTTACTAAAATAAACTTATACCTAAATTAGTTTCTAATTCATCATAGGTAAAGTCTTCTGCAATTATTGATAAAATTCATTGTTTTCTATCTGCAGTTTTTTTGTTATTATTTAAAACACGTGAAAAAGAATTCCAAAAGATATATGTTGTATTGGGAATATGTATAGGTATACTAGTTAAAAATCCCAACTTATAGAGTTGTTTAAGTATTACAAAATTATGATCTGGTAGATTGGATTTTGTCCAAAATTGATACTAATAATAAAGTATAATAAAGTATAAATAAATTTTTATTTAATTTTAAATATTAGTTGAGTAAAACTTTACAATATACCTTTAATTCTATGTTTAACTAAGGTATTATATCATTAGCACTAATAGCATGAAATATTGATCGCTATGTATTTAATTCTTAGTTACAAAATTGATAATCTCTTGAGAATAATAAAACAAGTGTAGTATTTAGCTCAATAATATTACTTTCTTGTTTTGACCAGTTAAAAAAAAGACTATATCAGCTAATATTAGAAAGTGTTCTTCGTTTAACATGATAATCAAAAACTGATTTCATAAGTAAAAAATCTTTCCATTGATTTGGTGTACAAGTAGGAATTCAATGCTACTTTATTAATTGTTAGGTAACATTGTAATCAAGACCAAAAAGTTGAATACCATTATATTTACTAATACTAAAAAACTTCCAAACATCATTCAGAGATTCTTCTTCAACCATTTTTTTTAATTGTGAATCCTGATAAACTTCAACTTTACAAACATCATCCTCTATATATGAAATATAAAGCCCTTGTTTTTTACCATATATATGAATTAATGATGACTTATAACCTGAACCACCTTTATTTCAATCTTCTCTAAAAGATGACCCAATCCCAAAAACAAAAATTTTAATTTGGCCAAGATTAAAAAAAAAAGAAAAAAAAGAAACATCAATTAACAATTGTGAAACAATATCACAATCCGTCCACCCAATAATAAGCAGACCAGAATAGTGAGTTTTGGCATCAAAAATACTAGTATAGATCGAGGAAATAGCAGTACTAGGATCATGAACCGGAAGTTCAGTATAAACAGCATCACTTTGACAAGTATAACCAGGTAAGTTGGGATTATTAGGATAACCTATTACTATTGTAATAATAAACTCACGATTATTAAGAATAACTTTGGTTTTTTGTCCAATACGGATTGGAAAATAAGTTATATCTTTATTATCAAAAACCTTATTGGTTTTCCACCAATAACGTGAATAGGGACCATAATGTAAAGTTTCGTCCAAAACACCTACTTCTAACAACGTAACTTGAGCTTGACGTACTCTTTTAGCCATTTGGCCTTTAGTTTTCAGATTCCATAACTATATGAATTTTAATATAACGATTATCCCCAATTTTATATACGAATATCACGTGATTAGTGCCGATCATAACCGGATCAGCAATTAATAATATTTCTTATTACTATATTTTATTAATAGAATCGTCAAAAATGGCTAATATAAACAGTATCATATTTTTTTTTTTCATATTTGTATTAATCATACATTTGTCTGCAATAATTCTAACTCTGTACGTACCTTAATTACAAATGGACATCTTACAGAACCGAAGAGTCCTTCACCATTAATATCATTTAATATAAGGCTGTTTCAATATTCTTATAGCATCCTTAGAAAATACATAACTTAAACCAGACCAAATTGTTGTTCCAGCAACAGTATACCTGTGAGTTTTTTTATTCATGTTAATAAAAATTCTATAACAATAATATATTGAGAATATCATCAATTTATTTATGTGCATACTGTAATGTTTTCAAGAATGGAACATTGATCCAACCAAATACAGGGCTAGCAAGCGTCGTACCCATGAGTACTAGTTGCAAAGTGGTATTCACCTATTTTAAAATTGAGTTCGTGAGTTCATGTGCGAATTTTCATGAAAATCTTGAACAAAAAAATAAAGATATACCTTACTGATCAAAGTTGGTCTAATTTCTGCTGATGGGATTGACATATCGAAATATCTGGGTAATGTTTTCTAAAAAGGTCTAATCCGTTACTTTCTTATTAGTTACTTAAATTATAAATTTTAGATGCAACTTTACCGGTAATGGAAGCGAAATATATCTATAATAAAAGGCTGATAAAATAAGACCGAGATCTCGACCTAAAATTATAATCGCTATCGGCACTTTGAAAATTATATTATTAAAATATTGTACTTGAAAATAAAATAATGAATAATTTTATTAAACAACTTTACTTGGTAACAAATCTTTCATAGCTAAAGTAACCGTCAGAACGGTCATTAATGTTTTATCTGCCAATGGATCTATAACTGTCCCTACCATAGTTTTTTGATTATAATTCCGAGCTATAATTCCATCTAACTACAAAAATTGAAAAATGTTTTTTATCTTGAAATTATAATAAAGTTCACAATTGTCTTATTCTGATAAGTTAATATATTTTCAAGTCCCATACCAAATCAGTAACACCAGCGTACACAAATGCACCTAACGCAATTTCATATTGCTCATTCAAAATAAAATAACCGACGAATGGAGAAACAATTAGTCTAGATAATGTAAGTACATTTGGAATATTTAAAATGGTTTCTCTTAACGGTATCGTTTTGAGCTAACAAAACAACATAAAAGTCATAACAATTAGTTCTTAATGAAAAATATATATATATATATTTTTTTTTTACTGTTTATCATGAATATAAAACTTCTGACATACTTTTTTAAATTTTTTAGGAGAATCTATTTTACGGGAAAGACGAAACCTAAAACCGGCGAAAGATGAAAGATGAAACCTCCTGGCGAAAGACGAAACCCTCGGCGAAAGATGAAACCCTTGGCGAAAGACGAAACCTCTTACGAAAGACGAACCTTCTAAAACTCTACTAAAAGATGAAATCCTAAGAAAGATAAAGAGCTGAGCTATAGTTCATAAATGAATTCATTTTCCCATGATTTATTACTTAGCATTTATTAAATGAATATTTATGTTTAAATAGATTTATATAAGTTGAATATATTTATAATATTAATTACATATTATTATTTAAATTGTAAATAAATTTTAACTTCAAATGAAAAAAAGCTATAAATAGCTTTTCTAATACAATTAACAGTTTTATCATTGTGCCTTTGATTTAAAGAGCATACTAACATTCTCGTTTTTTTTTTTATATATATTTATTTAGACGGTGCACAGATTGAAGAGTTGATAGTAATATGCACGGTTGTTCGATCAGCGTCTAATTTATATACATCTTGTTATAGAAATTGCTAGAAGCAAATTCTACACTTATCATATTTAAAAGATATATTTTTGTTAACGTTAATTACTGTCGCGGATTATAGTGAAATCCTGATTACTGGATTATGGTGAAATTTGTACATATTTTATTATGAAAATTTAAAGTGTGTTTTCTCTTTAGCGTTAGGTTTAGAATTTAGGGTTAGAGAAAAGTATAATTATAATTTAGATTTTGGTAGGATTTATATATTTTCGAAAAGAGAGACTCCAAATTTCACCATAATTAATATTTCTTTTTTTGTAAATTCGAATATTCGACGAGATGCTTTCTAGGTCAATTTTAAATAAGACCCGGCCAGCCAGCTTTTGTATATTAAAATTTTATAAAATATATAAAACTTTTTTTGAAGTCTTCAAACTTTGACCCGGCTGGGTTCTTGAAGTGCTCCTTAAAACTTCAAAATTTATTAAATCTATAACAAAAACTTTATATGTGTATTAAATTTGAAGTTCAAATAATTGATCAATTTCAAATATTTGATTGAAATTCAAACTTTCAAATGATTGATTGACTTGATTGAAATTCAAACTTTCAAATTAATTTTAATATCCTTATTATCAAAATATGATATTGTATTGGCCGACAGGCTATTTACCTGATATCACACAAGGTGATAATTTGCTAATAATATATACACCTAATAAAAAAATACCTATGTGATGTCAAATAAATGGAAATGACCATTGGAAAAGTGATTGTATTGATACTGAAAAAAAAACTCTAGCGTTTTTTATTGGGGTGTTGCACATCATATGATTAACTATCATAGTGCAGCGCTATATGTAATTTACACTATGTAAGATTTTTCAATTTTTGTCGATCATTTTATTATAAAAAATTCGTCATAGTAATTTATTATAAAAATCACGTATCTTTAAAACGTTCTAA